CTAAGGAGTGGCTATTCTAAGACTCTTAAGTCTTCCCATGCTTCTGCTCTGAACTGTGTTGCTTTTTCTCTCCCCCCATGTCCTCCTGGGAACCTGGTTCCCTAATGCATTCCATCACACCCCCTCCCCCTTCATAGATAGATTCCATCACACTTGCTCTGGAGTGAGCAAACAGAATTGTCATACTGGGTATTTTAATAGTCTGCATCAACCCAATGGAATAGCTTAAAAAATAGCAAAAATTTTGTATTTATAACTTTCCAAAATACTGATTGAAACCATTTGTTTCATGTTTTAAATGTTTCCAAAACTTTTTTCCTTATGTAACAAGGAATGGATCTGCAATGGATTTCTTTATGGTAGCCCCTGGCAGCAACTGTATGAATATCATATGGTCATTCTGTGCAGGATTTCTTAGTGTAGCCAGATCTTTAATTACTACAACTGTTTTGACGGCAAGTCATATTGAAACTATTATAGTGGAATTTACTGCTGTGTCAAGATTACAGTAATAATGGAAAATATTGAGTTTATAGATATGCGTGGAACTCCTGATGTTGCCAGTGTGGCATTGTGCCCAGGAATCTCAGCCACTCATTTTGTTAGGAAGGTGGGCTAAGCAAAAATGAAACTTATATTTTCCAATCCCAAAAGGATATGAAATAAGGAGACTGGGTTCTGTTCCTGAGTTATGTCAAAACAAGATATTAGCTTTACCATTACTTATTAGTCAGAATGCACATAAACTGTACACTGGATTCTCAGTCCAGTATCAAACATCATGAATCACAGATCTAGCACTGCGTACTACATAGTGATCTATGCTCCCTTTGGATATTTTCAATATAGATTTATCTTGACTAGGGAAATAAAAATTATACTGACAACAAAGGTTCATATTGCCAAGACCATGGTTTTCCCAGTTGTAACATATGGCTGTGAAAGCTGGACCATCAGAAGATTGATGCCTGTGAATTATGATGTCGGAGAAAAATGTTGAGAAGACCTTCTACTGCAAGAAGAATAATTCAATAATAGATGAAGTAAAACAGTCCTCACCGGAAGCACTAACAACGAAGCTGAAGTTTAAATGTTTTAAACACAGAATGGGGAGGTGAGAATAATTGGATAAGATTATGATGCCTGGAAAAATCAAAGGTAATTGGAAAAGAGTGTTGGTTAGATACTACCACTGAGGACTACAACAAGAGTTATAAGAATTCAAAGAAGTACTTACTGAGCAATAATGCTGGCAAAATGAATGAAAATTGCAGAAATACCCCATGGAACCATTTCCATGATTTCACCTGCATTTTTTTTTTCAGTAACTGGTAGAAAAGATAGCTTCCATTGACTATATAGAAACCTGCTGTCAGTATTTGTTTTTCATTATAATCCTATATGTGAAGAAATATGTGAAGAAATGTGGCAGTGGCAGTTGATTCTAGATTAGTTATCCCTACTGCACATGGATTAAGATATTATTGTATTGGATTAAGATATTATTGTATTGTATTGTATTATTTGTATTAAGGACATATAAACCTTGTTTTCTAGTTAGCATTTCATACATTTGTTTCTTAGTGACATATTTATTGAATAAATGCAATAAATTTATCTCAGTCCCTTTAGCTTAAGTAAACTTAAGTTCCTTAAACTAGTAAAATGGGCATACATTTAGATTTTTATATTTCTCATTAGCATTCAGCAGAACAGCATAGCATAGGGTCAAAGTCAAGTTAGAAGGCAGATGGGCTTATTTTTGTCTCTCTGTGCTGATTTCAAATTGCATCTAAATGATTAGTTTACATATCTTTATGCAAAACAAATAAAAACTCAATAGCTGCAATTTATTCGTGTACACAGAATTGCACAGCAAAATGAGGGGGGGAAACTATTTAGAAGAGATGACATTCATTTGCTTTTCTTTTAATTCTGTACACTGATGTTCAATTAAACATTAGCAGAGTTGCAGCATAAGCCATTACACAGTAACGCTTGCTTTCCTTATTCAAGTCATCTTGAACAACTAAATAGAGCACATTCTGATCTTTAATATATGCATGCCATGATCTGCTGGTAATTTACTTGTTTAACTGCATCAACAATTTTTCTTTTCTGCTTTGGTTTTGATATTTTATTTTGAAAAAGAAAATTTCAGACTCATGGTTCCAGGGAATAGTTTACAATATGCAGTCTGTGATCAACAAAGGATTTAAGAATGAAAATGTGGTGAATCTTACAGCTCCCTTGGGCTCTTTGTCCCGTCCCCCCCATATCCACTGGCATCCCCTTCTAGAAGATTAGGAGACCCTCCAAATTGGCATAGCAGATGTTGCAGGGATGTGATAAGGCTTCTCTCTCCAATTTTATAATTGTACTTATTTAATTTTTCAGAATATTGTGCAAAATATTGCTGAAACGTTAAAGCAAATCCTCTTTCTTTTCCTGGAAGCCAGTCATAGTTTGGATGGTCAGTAATAGAATGTGGAGCTCACAGAACATCCTTAGAAATGTTCTTCTTAAAAAAACAAGGCTTCTCTTCTGACTATCCCATGCCTGCCTGGCTGTCAAATCTTGCTTAAACACAAACAAACAAACAAACAAACAGGGAATGTATTTCTTTGCATTTGCATTTATTCTGTCCCTGCTATTTAGGCTTTAATATGTGTACATTGCCTCCGATTTAGAGAAGAGTATTTAATTGTTTGTTTGTTTGTTTGTTTGTTTAAAATATAGATTCAGGCAAGGCATTGTGCTTATTTGTTTGTACTATGAGCTTTAATACAAGTAAGATAACGGTCTGCCAATATCTCTATCATAGATTTCTGGCAAGAATATTTGAACATTAAAAAAAAGAAAGAACATATAAGTAGTAGTATAGGGTAGTAAATTAAACCAATCTATATTGGGAAAGATCTACATGCAATACATTCTTTAAAAGTCTAACCCTCATTTTAAACTTGGTAGAAAGCAGGAGCAAATAATCATTATACTTAAAAGTTTGGTGCAGTTTGGGGCTCGGTGTTATTTGTAAACTATGGCTTGATCAACAGTCCATAATTTAAAAACCACGGCTTAGTATGATGTGTGAAACCAGCATCCATAAGAGGGATAGGCAACTTCCTTGGGTAAAGGGCTGAAGGATGCTGATGTCACTGCTGAAGAATATAAATGAGGTACTGGGGGCTCTATGCTGACGAGAGCTTTTTTGCCCTTCCTGTATTTCCACCATATTTTCACTATCTTTTTTTTAAAGAGAGGAAGAGAGGCTTTATGTAGAATTACATGCAACTAATAATCTTTCTTAGAAGAAGAGGGCTTATTAAGTCAGAACGCAAGCTACTTTTTAAATATATTTTGAGGCTGCAGACACTTTAACTTGCCAAGTATTGCTCATGGTATCAGGGGTCTAAATCAAAATGTCAGCCAGGATGTGATTCAAAGTAATTAACTGTCTGGTGAAAAATGTCTGATATTACAGTCTTATATATAAGCACAGAGAAAACCTTTGTCATTTATATTTTGAAGAGAATGAGTGGCCCTGAAAAACATTCATATAGATTAAGATGGTCCCATTTTTTAAATTATAAACAGACGTATTTCAAAGTAAAAATGGCAGAAGTTCATCAAAATGTTGTAATAATCTTTCATAATTCGGACAAAGTTTGACATATTTTCTGTGTAAGAGAGGTCCATATAAATGTGTTACTCACCAAGCCAAACACGGCCCATCATCAGCTCACCATCAAATATGGTAATCCAAATAAGAATTCCAAGGAATATCTGGGTTTTACAGTATGCATGGTCCTACAAACCCAGTACATTTTTAAGAATTTGTCAGGGCATAATACACAGCCAATAGGCTGTAATCCATTGGCTGGTATTAATTTTCATAATCTTTGAACCCTGTTGGTGCTAATTTTATATATTTATATGAGAAAGAATATTGTTTCAGTTCAAGATGAGAAAGCTTGATCTGTCTGATTTGCAAGTCATTGAGATATATTAACTTTCCTATCACATGTACACTACCCTTCCCCAACCCCAAGTTTTGGGACTATAACTCCCCAAGTTATTTAAAAAAAGAAAAAAAGAAAAATACTTGCATGAGCATTCTCATTTATCTCGATGTACAACTTTTCCCCAATATACGCAGATTTCAGATAGAAGCGTCTTTGGAGGGATCTTGAATTTACTCTTATGATCTGGAGCATTCTCTCCTATTTTGATCTTGAGTTGCCCTGTCATGGAACATAGCCTTAGAAACAATCAAATAAAAGCAATATACTGCATATTAGAAAAACAATCAAAACATAAATCATGTAATAAATATTACCAACATCTTGCCAAAAATAATCTATAAAACAATAATAATTATTCGCCAATGTTTTTTCTCTGAAATAACCAGATGTTCATCAATTATTGCTCAGAGGTGAAAGTATTCTGCCTGTTCCATCTCAGATGACATGACATGCTACCTGTGGCTGATTTTAATACAGAGCTACTTATTTACAAAAAAGAAAAGTCTTGACCCAGGCATATGTAAGAGGGGAAACTTGAAGAATCACAGCTGAATAATATTTAAGTTTAATAAAAGTAAAAGCATATAAATTTATTATACCCTATATCTCTGAGATTGTTTTCCCAACATATTTTTGGAAAAAAATAAATCAAGCTTCATATACAGTATGAACAATTAGAAATAATTTCACAGATAATAATTTTCCTTCATATTTTTCTCCATAGTGTTAATTGCATTTGTCAACACTTATGTTCAGAACTCTTAGGGGAAGAGTAACAGTATATGTCAACCACTTTATTAGAGGAGGAAAAAGAGCAATAGCAGGGTTTTAAATTTCAGCTTACTTGGTCCAATCAGAGATTTCCAAATGTAAAGTCTTGTTTAATTTGTTTGCCTACCTCTTCCTACTGCTTTTGACTTACCATCTATTCTCTCTCTGTCTCTTTCTCTCTCTCTCATTTTCCTTTGCAAACAGAAAGCTGACCTTGCAGTTGCGCCCCTGGCAATTACGTATGTTCGAGAGACGGTCATCGACTTTTCCAAGCCCTTTATGACTCTCGGAATAAGTATTTTGTACCACAAGCCCAATGGTACAAACCCGGGTGTCTTCTCCTTCCTGAATCCTCTCTCCCCTGATATCTGGATGTATATTCTGCTGGCTTACTTGGGTGTCAGTTGTGTGCTCTTTGTCATAGCCAGGTAACATGTCACACCTTGTGATTTTTTTGGCAATTGTTATTTTTCTCCTCTTCAACAATAATTGTCAAAAGTCACAAATTCTTCCTTCTTTCTTATTCTTAATTGCTAATCTGCTATCTATACAGAGAAAAAGTCAGCATCAATTTAGCATCAGTTTCCTACACTATATTGCTGTCATGTCTGCTTCATATTGACTGTGCCCCTTATCTTTTAATAATGGTACACTTGTTTCTGTACACTTTTTAAAAGTAAACTAAAGAAATTTGGCAGCTTTTTAGAGACAATTTCCTCCCTTCAAACCTTGAGTTTCACTGTTTTGCAATACAATAAAGTTTATTTTTATATATGCTGCCATGGTATTGGGTACAATATTAAGAAGAAATAGATATTCAAATAAAACACACAAGAATTCTTAATGAAATTAAGGACAAAATCACTAGTGATGCAAATGAAGCTGGGAAAGTAGAGCCATGGCCCCTGGCCCAAGGCTTGCCATTTTTTTTTTAAATTAGTCCCTGTCTTTGCACAGTCCACACACTGATAGTTAAATCTTGACTTAATGGATCATTTAGGGAGAAAGAAGAGGATGTCCATTAAATCCAAATGTCTGTTAAATCTGAATTTATATTATCTGTGCAATTATTTAATTGATGCAAATTGCATTGTTTGCAATAAAATCTTGATTTAATGGACAGATATTAGTCTATTAACACATAGTAGTCCATTAAATGTGGGTGGACTTTGAACAACAAAAAAAGGAAATTGTACCCTGCATCTTTGAAATCAAGGTCTGTTAAACCAAGGTTTTACTGTAGTTCTGATGTCTGGAGTTTGCATACCTTCCTCATGATTTTGAGCCTTATCACAAAAGTTTCTAAAACACAGGACAGTAAGAAGCCTATGTGTGGCAAAGAAAGTGATAGTGGGGACAGCAAGCATGGTCCCACCTATTCTGTATGGTGTATTTTAGAATGCTTAACTAAATTTATTAAGAATTTCACTTGCAGGTCAAATGTAGCAGAGATGTACAAATGTAAAATGTATAACTGGGCATAACATGGTTTTAAGATCCAAGTACTTTGTAACTAGACTGATAAAGCTGTAGGATTTTCCCCCTAATTCTTCCTATCTCTTTTGAATTTCCATTAATTAACTGAATACTGATTGGCAGTAGTAGCAGTTTTTAACTTGCTTGAGTCCTGGAAATAGGTGAAGCAGGAATGATAGATTTAAAAACATACCTAAGTACTGAAAGTGAGTAAATTACTGCCGTAGTATCACATAAAACAAGAAGATCAGACTTTCTTCCTTGGATTTTCATTTTGCATGTGTCTATTGTTCTAAATTAAGAAATGGGCACTCAGGTCCATTGAAGTTATGCAAATGAATCCAACATACAGTATGATGTCTTTATGTGACCCAGAATTACTTCACTGATTTCTGTTATAAATGCTCCAGAGCTTCTATTGATCTTGCCTGTGCAGAATCATTCTGCTTAAATTCCATTATCTCAATGGCCTATTCCTAGCATGTGTTTGCAAGTCCTTCTGTCAATATAATACTCCCATTAGATGGTTGCTGGTTGTAATCAGAGTGGGGGAACCTCTTGTTGCTTCATTGATGCATCTTGTTGATCCCACTTCATGAAGTATAATGCTGAAATATTTGTGTTCATGATGCCCTGTTTTTTGTTGCTTTCATGGATTAGTGTTTTGTCAGTGTGTAAGAAGATATGACTTCTGGACTTACATATATAAAGAGCCTTAATCTAGGGAAGGATATTTTCATGGTAATTTTAATTATAAACATAAATATGTAGCAATATATATATAAATATTTATTATAAATATCAAAATTTATTATATATGTCTGTGTGTGTATGTATATGTGTATGTGTGTGTGTGTGTGTGTATAAAAAAAGAAAACTATAAAAAAGGGAGTTGAGCATATGAAGTGCAACATTTGTACTATTCTCAAAACTGCTCACTTCACTTTTTATTTCCCTCTGCTCATTCTGAAGTCAAGAGTTTTTTCTTTACTCAAATTGTTTTCATGCCACATTTATTTCTTGTTTAATCAGTAATTGAATTCTCTTTTGCTATAATTTATGTAAGTGTAGGGTCAGCCCTACCATTACCCAAAGTGAGGCAGCTGTCTCAGGCAGCAGAGCTAGAAGCAGCTCCCTAGCCATTGTTCCCTATCCACGTTCCCTTTCCTTGGAGGAAACAGTGTGGAGCGTAGCCTATCCTTTATTTGTTAAACTAATCTTCAGGTGTCAGTGCTAAAATAAGGTAAAACTATCAGCACAATTGATTATTGTATATAGGCAGAAGGGAATATAATTGTGTCTTCTGCCACAGTTAGCAGTATTTTATTTATCTATTTTATTTATTTATTAAATTTCTCCCCCCCATCTCCCCCCAATGGGGGGCTCTAGATGACTCACACAAAACATTAAAACCATAAATATATATAAATACATAAAACATCAAAATGTAAAAA